ATGGAATACGAAGAGAACGACGAGGCACAGTGAGTCTTAGCCGTGAACGTTAGAACTGATGGAACTAAGAAATGTAGTTCATCTGAGGCTTGCGACGTTTCGTCTGTGGTAAAAAGAGTGTTGTAGGGCGGGAAATTAAAAACTTTTGAAAACAAAACAAAAATTCTCAGGAATTCTGAAATCAAAACAGCTCACCTAAACCATGCTAAAAGGGAAGATCGTGTAGAAGATTAGTCAAGAGAGTAAGGGTTTCTAGTCCGCCTGTCTTCATTCTGGTGTGCATTAGCGCCATGTCCAGGGGTCTTGGGTGTAGGAAAATCTTTCGTGAATCTAGGCTGGCTGATCCTTAATTACCAAGTTTTCCCACCTCTATTAATTGGTCGCTTTCACTGGAGATTAAGTGACAATAAGTCTCCTCAATATTGGAGCTGTTTCACGGTCGGAAGTATTTCGTTGAAGCATTTTATTAGGCTGGTGCAAAAATAAAGACGTAATAATGTCGTTTTTTGACGTTAAAAAATACGTCAAAAAACGACATTATTACGTCATTATTTTTGCACCAACCTAATAATACCTGCTTGAACGCACTCACACACGCATGTGCGTGCACATACACGCGCACACAGAGCGTGATATTGAAAGAGTACGCGTACAGAGACGGGGAAGATGGTGTACGATGTATTGATCATGTAGCTATTTATTTAGTGAACATAGTATAGCACAAGCTTGTATCGTTAGAACAATTGCGACTGAGTAGTGAGTTCGATCCTCACTGGGTGCCCCCTACTTTCGGCCTTGTGCCACATCTGAGCCCGGCTTAGAAAATCACTATCGCAGTGGATGTTTTACGTTACTAAGCTCAGCTTAATAAATGATAATAATAAATATATTCTAAATATTTTAGGTAAGTAATAGAATAATATATATAATTACACAGACATGGGCACCTCGGTGTAATGGTTAACAAGCTTGTCTCACTTGAACAATTACGACTGAGTAGTGAGTTCGATCCTCACTGGGTGCCCCAAACTTTTGGCCTTGTGCCACATATAAGCTACGCTTGGAAAATGACTATTTGTTAAGACGGCTTGGCACCTCGAGGTGGTGTGATACTTAGCAAGGTTGTATCGTTAGACCCCTAAAGTCTGGTGGAAATAAATTAAAAAGCTGGAAAAGTAACTAACATTTTTGAAAAAAAAAAGTATGGAAAAAAATTATGGAATTTAAATGTGATAGTTGTTCGCATCATTCATTTGGGATTCTTGGAACATCATGAAGAATCTTGTGAAAGAATGGAAGAAGAATAAATCTAGGAAGAACTGAATACGGTAACATCATCAAGTACACAAAGGAGAGTAAGGAGGAAGCATTTTGTTCTTTCATTACCAGTGACAGTCACCAGTTAAACAGGAGAAACTCGCTGAACGCAAATAACGATAACGAGGAAAGGTCCACACGACCCACATCGCTTGTATAAGTACTGTGGAGGGTTCTGCTGATTTACGGAAACTCGGCTACCATTCAATCCCCGCCCAGTAGTAATGGTAACAGGCAAATCTAGTATTATTAATGAAGTGAATTCATTCTACACTGATTACTTGACACATGGATTGTAGCCTTAGACCAAAATAAGATCAGTGGAGCTAATCTTGTAGGCTATTATTATTATTATTACTATAAAAGGTTCAATATTCATTGGTGCTCCAATTTATTGACCTTGTGCATAGCAAATGTTTGACACACGGTCAAGTATGTGGGATTCGCCATATATCAACGTTAGGGGTTACGCTGAGAAACAGCAGTTAAGAAACTCGTCTAGTAAAATGTAAATCACTTGTACCTCATATTTATAGCCTTGTGCCAGACTAAGCTAGGCTTAAATATTGATAGAGCAGGTCAGGTTTTACTTTTACATTATTGTTTTAAATATCAGTTGGATTTTTCCTTTTTCAAGAGTCGTCAAGTAATTTGGACCCCAACTTTCCGTGTTGTTAATTTGAGAGAACGTGTCGGGGGTGGGCAGGGGGTGGTGCTATATTGGATAGCTTCTCGGAATAAGAACTCGGAGAACCGAGTTCAATTCGCAGTCCATTCAAGTTCATTCGCAGTCCATTCAAGTTCACTTACGCTCAAATATTCTTAAGAATGATGTGGATCTATTTTTTCTCCCCAATGGCTTCTAGCTGTGGGACAAATAGCAGGGCAGACTGGCTTCTCCCGCCGCGAGTGGTTGACAAAAAAACAATTCTGAATGAACGACAATGATGATGGAAAGAAGCAGAAGTAAAATTTACTGTTCAACTTCTGGGTGCGCCGAGAGGCTGAGTGGTAATTAAGCAAGTTGCACATACGTCGCTTTCGGTCCCAAGTAGAGGACGGTTTCAAATTCTGATTATCACAGCGGGTGTTTGGGCACCTCGACCTGGTGTAATGGTTAGAAAGCTTGTCTCGCTAGATCAATTACGACTGAGTAGTGAGTTCGATCCTCACTGGGTGCCCAATACTTTCGGCCTTGTGCCACATCTGAGCCGGGCTTAGAAAATCACTATCGCTGTTGGTAGTTTTACGTTACTAAGCTCAGCTTAATAAATATATTCTAAATATTTTAGGTAAGTAATAGAATAATATATATATAATTACACAGACATGGGCACCCCGAGGCGGTGTAATGGATAACAAGCTTGTCACGCTAGAACAACTGAGTAGTGAGTTCGATCCTCACTGGGTGCCCCCTACTTTCGGCCTTGTGCCACATCTAAGCTACGCTTGGAAAATCGCTATATTATTGGAGTAGGGGCACCTCGAGGAGGTGTAATGGTTAACAAGCTTGTCTCGCTAGAACAATTACGACTGCGTGGTGAGTTCGATCCTCACTGGGTGCCCCATACTTTCGGCCTTGTGCCACATCTAAGCTACACTTAGAAAAGCACAGTAATTACACAGACATTGAAGCAAAAGACATTACGATTTGTAAACATTCTTAGTAACATTTCAGGTAACAACAACAATAGCAACAAACACAACAACAATAATATTAACAATAATAATAATTACTATTGTGCCGTTTGTCATAATAGATTGAGGAATTATCCGTCTGTCTTCATTCCTGCCGTGGAAATATTGCCCCCCCAAAATTAGCGCCATTACCAGAGGGAGGGGGGTGCTTGGGTATAGGAAAATCTGTCGTGAATCTAGACTGGCTGACTTATCATTCCTTAATTGCCAAGTTTCCCCACCTCTATTAATTGGTCGCTTTCACTGGAGATTAAGTGACAGTAAGTCTCCTTAATATTGGAGCTGTTTCACGGTCGGAAGTATTTCGTTGAAGCATATTAATACCTGCTTGAACGCACTCACACACGCATGTGCGCGCATATACACGCGCACACACGCGCGCACACAAAGCGAGATATTGAAAAAGTAAGCGTACAGAGACGACATAGATGCTGTAAGATGTATTGATCATGTAGCTATTTATTTACTGAACTTAGTATGGCACAAGGCTAAATCGATGGGAGTGAGATGAGGAAAGCAGGAAAATGGTTGCGCCAGCTTTCCATATGGGAAATAGGCTTATTTTGGAAAAATTTTCATCTGAAGTTTCCGAGTTCGAAAACCGACCGCTGGCGAAATATGCAACTGCATCAGCCACCAAGCAGTACTGCAAATAAGCAAAGAGCGATGTGCTTTCCGCCCCCACCGCTGTTTACAGAGAGACACCTTGACGTGGTGGAGGAGTGATGTCCTACAGTTTGCTTCATACGTTTGTGACCTTGTGCCAGACATAACTTAAGTTATCCACCTACCCACCCCGCCAACACGCGCACAAAAATTAGATTTCAGTGTTTGCCTGACGCTTTAAACTTGAATGGGTACATTTCCAGTGCCAGTTTTTGGGCTTCTCGACTCTACGCAGGATGTGAACATTGGTTTAATGATATTTTACAGACACCCACGCCTAGTGAATGCTACACATCTATTCACTGCATCAGAATACTTCTAAAATCTGCGAGGCCCTCTTAATGCGATATCAACCCACAGCTTGATCTTCATCGATGTGTGCATAGTTGTCTTAGCCGGTGCGTTCGTTTGTACGAGTGATTGTAGATGGAGTGAGAAAAAGATGCAAAACAGACGTGCCATTCTCCTTCTGTGAATGATTTCGGCTGACAGTCTCATCTTCAAAGGTGGGAATGATTTTATACCGACCGAGGAATCCACAATATAGATTTATGCTTTATTTCCGAACTTTAGACACACACAGAGATACGCAGACACTGGTTGAAAAGACAGGACATGAACGAACGACTGCAATTTTTACATAGACAAAAAAAATAAAAAGAAGAAAAAAAAAAGAAGTATTACAACCTTCAAAACTCGTTTATCTATTCACACACTCAGGGAGATAAATAGTGTCGCTTTTTAATTCTTTTAGGATACGAATTTAAAAAAAAAAATTCGTGCTGAGAATTACTAACATTATGGAGAATTAATGTAACGTTGGTTCTGTGTGCTGGTAGCGGAGGGGGAGAGACAGTGAATTGAATGACTTCAATTGGGATGCTAAGCGATCAAGAACAACAAAAAAAAATTTTCGGTATGACAATTTCAGGCAGTTTAAATGAAACAATTTTAATGCGAAAATAATCCCTGACATGTATTAAAAACGGTGCAATAAAGTTGAAGGCGTATAGGCAGGAATAAGTAGTTTTAACAGGTAGGTAAATATATGTACCTTGGAACATCGTCGATTAGGATAAAAGTAAAAATCGCATGCTAATTGATAGACAATACACAGACAGACATGACAATACATAGCATGAGAATATTATTTTATATTATATCATATCATTTTATATTATATCATATTATGATGAATTAAAATGCATTCTTCGTTCTTATAAGGGAACGAATGAAGATTTTTTTAGCAATAGTAAATAAAAACGGAAATGAGATATAAAAAAAAGACATTTTTTTTTCAAACTGGAATACAACTAAATTCAAAAATAGAGATAAAGCATAGATAGATAGATAGATAGATAGATAGATAGATAGATAGATAGATAGATAGATAAAAACGGAAATGAGATATTTAAAAAAAAACATTTTTTTAAAAACTGGAATACAACTGAATTCAAAAATAGAGATAAATCATAGATAGATAGATAGATAGATAGATAGAGAGAGAGAGAGAGAGAGAGAGAGAGATAGTAAATAAAAACGGAAATGAGATATCTTTTAAAAAAAATGTCATTATTTTTAAAAACTGGAATACAAGCAGAATACAACAAATAGAGATAAATAAAGTATAGATAGATCAAAATGACGCAAATGTATACATAGAAAAAAAAACTGGGGTAGATAGATAGAAAAAAGAATGTAAGACAACGACAAGAAATTACAATAATAATGATACGTATCTATCTAAGCTTACAGCACCTGGTATTCACAAGCGGTTACCCATCTTGGTACCAACGTTGCTTAACTTCGGTTATCGTGAGAGAACCAATGCTTCAACGTGATATGGCCGTAAGCCCCTTCGCTAGATAGATAGATAGATAGATAGATAGATAGATAGATAGATAGATAGATAGATAGATAGATAGATACTAACAGATTAAGATAGAGAGATGTCATGATTTCATACCAAAACATTTTCTATGAGTCGTCGGCTAACGATAGAGAGAAACTGAAAAAAGAAATTACAACAGATGCTCTGTGATGGTTCACAAATTGAGCTTCATTTTTCCATTCCTTTTTTCTTTCTTCTACATCTCCTTTTCTTTATTTATATTTTTTTACTTTGTTTACTTTATTTATTTATTTATTTATTTATTTATATATATATCTATTTATTTACAACAGATGAGAAATTTTAAATAATATTTCCCAGCTGTAAGAATAAAAAGAGTTTTTCTTTTTTTTTTTTTTTTCAATCCTTACTCTTCATTCACTAGTAATTTCGTTTTTCAAAATGAATGTGAGTCTCAGAAACTCAATTTTTTTAAAAATGATATTAAGGTGTATGGATCTATAGCCTAATGAAGAAAAATTACACTGAGAATATTTTCAACATAATCTCCTTCCTTGTCAAAGCACTTAATTCAATGACAAATCGCAAACATCAAACACTAGTGTATAAATTTTAAAAATTCGAGAGACAACTCCGTGTCAGGCTGCGGACTTATTGATGCATTCTCATTCACCAAACAACATCTATCTATCTATCTATCTATCTATCTATCTATCTATATATATATATATATATATATATATATATATATATAATACATAGATAAAAATAAAATGAATGTAAATATACTTAAAAATTTGTATGTAATGTGGGGTTTAAAAGAAATGTTTTGTATTTTTATGATGAATGATCACAAAATTTAGCAACATTAATGAAATAAAATACGAAATTGCAGTAAAGACAACAAACGCATTTGCCGTCGTTGTGTGCAATCCGATGTTTGAATTTAAGCATCTGAAACGTGTTCATATTTTGGTTGTATATAAACAATCGCTTGCTCGACAAAAAAAGAAAAAAAAAGAAATAAGAACGACTAAAAATACGTTTTTTTCTTCTTTTTTTTGTCTAGCTATCAAACATATATCTGGTTACATTGTTAGTTCTGTCACAATTTACGTTTGTAAGTAATTTTGAACTTAAACTTCATTCTACCTTGATGAATTGGGGGCTGAGTATGACCCAAGTTTCATATCTCGTACTGATTATGAATTGGATATTTTAAAACTGTAGGGTGGGGGATATTGATTATTTTAAGATGTTTGTTTTGTTTTTGTTTTTTTTAGTTTTTTTGTTTTTTTAAGAAAGAAGAACAAGAAGAAGAATTTAAATTTAAAGAAAGCAAATTAAGAAAAGAAAAAAAAATATTTTCAGTTACTTACCGAGGTTTCGCCGTTGTCTGTCAGACATTCTTTCATTGTATCCGGCAGGTGCACACAGTAATTGCAAAATGTTCGGTATTTCTACTCCGCAATGGGCTCCCTGTGCTGGCCCCTGTCGAATAGTTTCCTCATTGCAGGTGTGTTCCAGACCCGCATTTACCATTTGCCAGTTCACAATGCTTAGTAGAGTGGCCAGTAGAAAGGTGCCCATACAGACAGTACTTGACTTCATACTGACAGAAAAACTGATGCAAAAAAGGACGAAACTTAAGACCATAGTCCCTTATAAAACCGGACCTACCCTAAGTTGCTTAGCGAGGAGGTTTGAACCAACCACACACGCGAGCACACACATATACACACGGGAGGCTGGCCGACAGACAGACAAGCCGACAGACAGAGAGAAAGGCGGAGGAGATGCAAGGATGACTTGCCTAGTGGTGGTGGCGGTGGTCGGGTTGATGTGCTGACGCTCTCACTAACTCTTTCTGTCGCTCTCGTTCCCTCTCACTCTCTCTCTCTCTCTTTCACGCTTTCTTCTCTTGCTCCCACCTTCCCTTTTCTCTCTCTTTCTCTCTCGTGTTTCACCTCCCGCCGTCTCCTCTTCCTCCTCCTCCTCCTCCTCCTTTATTGCGATCTCCTTCTTTCTTACTCAAACACGCGAATGGCACACTCGGAGAGGGTGGATAGAGTTATGGTGGTGGTGGCGGTAGAAAGGGGGGAAAGGGGGGGCTGCATTGATGAAGGAAGGCAAAGAAAGAAAGAGTAAGAAGAAGCTTGAAGGGTGGGAGAATGGGAGGAGGAGGAGGAGGAAAGAGAAAAAAGAGTGGGAGGGGGATACTTATTTTTTTTAAAGTAATAAGATGGAGGGGGAGAGAAGAAGAAAAAAGAAGAAGAAGAAGAAGAAGAAGAAGAAGAAGAATATGAAATGAAGACGAAAAAGAAGAAGATGAGGAAGAAGAAGAAGAAGAAGAAGAAGAAGAAGAAGAAGAAGAAGGATGCCTGTCATTTGCTTGTCGCTATTTCATATTTCATTTGAGAAAACCCGCCCGAACGCCAACACACACGGGCGCGCACGCGCATACCCGCACTGTACCCAACTCCTCCCCCTCCTACTCTTTAAGCTCCATGAAAATTTAGGAAAGAGACGATCATGGCACTCCACAGCTTTCTTTTATTTAATTTAATATCTGGAAACTGTGCTTTGCCGTGATTGCTCTTGCCAGAGATAGTGGAGTGATTTCCCACTGCCTTCTCTCGTGTTTTAAATACAAATTGATCCTTCTCCTAGACTGGTTACCCAACCAAGGCTAAAAAGCGCAGACATAGATTGAAAGAATAAGCATGAAAAAAATCCATTTTAGAATTAGAATTACATCGTTAAATTAACAGTACATATATATATATATATATATATATATATATATATATATGTGTGTGTGTGTGTGTGTGTGTATGTATACATATATATATGTGTGTGTTCATGCGTGTGTGTGCTTGTATGTATACATATATATAAGTATGTATACATACATGTATGCATGCACATATACATAGACACACAAATAATATATATATATATATATATATATATATATATATATATATGCACATATACACAGACATATACATATATAATATATATCCATATGCATATATCTATACAGATATAGATATATATCAATATATAGGCACATACAAGATATATAGATCATATATAAATATAAATAAATAAACGTATGTATATATATATATATATGTATGTATGTATGCACGTATATAAGTAAAAACATATAGCAAAGGTTGTAATGTAAGACTAAAACAAAATAGTATTATTGAAAAATACCTATGACATCTATTTACTTTAGAAATATACATTAACTAGATACACCATTCTTTAATAGTGTGTGTGTGTGTACGCATATGGCATATTTCGATACACACAGGATTACACACGATGTAGGGATTATTAGCAAGTAAGGGTCGCAGACGATGACTACTGAATAAGCGAGCTAGTTCTTCCTTGTGCGCCCAACACCGGTGGCCTTGTTCCAAACCTATGCCCATTTTTACATGAAGCCGAAAAAACGAAGATATAAAACGCTGTGAACGTGTGTTTGCATCTGCGTGTATATCCATCTGTAATTATGTGTCGGTGTGCGTGTTTTGTGTGACTTCGTATATATTCATGCATGTCTACAATTTAGCTTCTGACCTTATGCGTACATCCTTATTGCTCGTTGCATTATATAGTGGTACGCTTCTAAGTCTGTCAATGTATATGTATCGTTTTACAAATGCACATACACACATAAATACATACATACATATATATATATATATATATATATATATATATATATATATATATATATATATATATATATATATATATATATATATATATATACAGATCTACCTATATATATATATATATATATATATAAATTTCAAAATAAGTTATTCCAATCGTTTGAAAATGAATCAGAGATAAAGATTTTAAATTTAATTCGATAATTAAATTCAAGGTTTATTTTCTGTTTTTGAAACATGGTAATTCCTTTGTAGCGATGGAACCATATTTTTAAATTAGCAAATTTATAATACATATATATATGTGTGTGTGTATACATATATATATATATATATACATATAATTATTTTTATAAAAAAAAAAATTATAACATAAGTATGTTATAAAATCACTACAAAAATAGTCATTTTGTTTCAACACCCTCGATGTCTTATCAAGTGATGATGTTGAGGATAATGGTTTTAATTGGAATTCATTCCGTATACACCAATTATATACTTGTATATATATATATATATATATATATATATATATATATATATATATATATATATATATATATAAAAAAGGCTTAAACACTAATATTCTATGGTCATAATTTATTCCATTGGAATCGTAAATACGATCCAATTCATCAGACATTTTTTTATACAAATATATATGTATGTGTATGTATGTTTATATATTTATATATTTTGCATATGTATGTGTATATTTACCACTAATATTATCTATCTATCTATCTATCTATCTATCTATCTATCTATCTATCTATCTATTTGTATATATATATATATATATATATATATATATATATATATATATATATATATATATATATGCGTGTGTGAGATAAAAAAAATCCACGATGTAGGTCCATTCGTGCCATTCCCACACATAGACATAACACAATTACATACCAATAATTACATAGATATTTACTAAGCGTAGCATAGATGTGGCACTATGCCAAATGTAGGGAATACCCAGTGTGAATCGAACTCACTAACCAGTTGGAAATGATTTATCGAAACAAGCTTGCTAAACAAGCAATCTTGCATCAAGTTGTACCCGGCTAATAACAATCTATATTGAATGAAATAATAATTTAATAAAAAAAGCTTCCTATCAAGTTTTGTCAATTTTAAATTCACTCGTGCCGATTTGAAGTATTTCGTTTATTGTTTGCTAAAAGATTTTTTCTTTGCGATTTATTTTGAAAAGAAACTTTAATGATTCCAACGTTTCGTTTTCTCATCTTTTTGAAAGTGAGCGTAGGACTTTACTGACTTATTCATCTTTCTCTCTTTTCTTTTTCTCTCATTCACTTGATGCTTCTCTCTCTTTTTTTCTTTGTTTTTGATTCGTTCTTTCTTTCTTTTTATCTATCTATCTATCTATCTATCTATCTATCTATCTATCTATCTATCTATCTAATCTTCCTATCTTTCTTTTTTTTTCTTTCTTTCCTTCTTTCTTTCTTTTCTTTCTTTCTTTCTATGCTAACCTTTTATCTCTCTCTCACTTTATCTATCTATCTATCTATCTATCTATCTATCTATCTATCTGTTAATGCCTATCTATCTGAAACCTCTTGACGTGTAAACTGAACGATGACAAAAAAATCTCTAGTCGGGGTGCTGAAGATAATATCAATCAACTATGTGACAAAATTTATTTTTATTAATCATATATATATATATATATATATATATATATATATATATATATATATATATATATATGTGTGTGTGAGAGAGAGAGAGAGAGAGAGTCTCATTCATATCTATTTAAGTCAGCTTATCATCTTATTTATCTGTCAGTCGATGTATTGATCTTTTCTCCAGCTATCTATCTATCTATCTATCTATCTATCTATCTATCTATCTATCAAACTTCGCCTTTTTATTTATCTGATAGATAGATAGATAGATAGATAGATAGATATCTTTGCCTTTCTCTCTGTCTATCTATTTACTTTTTATCTAGCTAAGTACCTGACTATCCACCTTTCTATCTTCCTTTTTACCTTCCTGTCTGGTTATCCATCTTTCTTTCTTTCTTTCTCTGCTTTATTCTTTTTTATTCTTTTTTGGTTTTTATCTATCTATCTATCTATCTATCTATCTATCTATCTATCTATCTATCTTCATCAGTTAGCATTTTTCCATCGATTACTTTAATTACATGTACGTAGACGTCTGTATCTGTATATATATGTGTATATGCGTGCGCGTGTGTGTATGTGCGTACATGTGTGTCTGTGTGTGTGTGTGTGAGTGTTTGTTTCTCTGTCTTGCTGTCCATCCAGCCATCACTTCAACAGTACACAGTGGAGCGGGGGTAGAAATATTTTTATTACGGGTTCAAATCGCATTTGAGGCAAGTTTTTTTTTTTCATTTCAAATTAACGCTACTTGTTCAAGCAGTGGTAAACTGTGTCACTAGACTATTACAGGCGGTCGGTGATGTTTTAACAATTTATTGTACATCGATCTATCTATCTATCTATCTATCTATGTGCGCGTGCCTCCACAGTAAAATGTGTTTGTGAGTTCGAACCTCGCAAACTGCCCTGATCTTTTAGCGGTGTTCCCAATTAAAGTTCTGTAAATATCTAAAGACAGACGGGGTGTGAGTTTTGTCTCTTTCCGAATATGTTTTTAGAAATACAAAATTTTATTTCTTAAAAATACTTGAAGATGTAAATTAAGTCTTTGTATATATGTATATATATATATATATATATATATATATATATACATATATAAAGAATCCCTTTACATGTAAAAAAAATCTGCTATTTCGTGATTTGTTCAATTTTCGTTTCACCAAACTCACGTATATGTAATGATAATCATAAAGAGACATAAGGACATGTATATATATATATATATATATATATATATATATATATATATATATATATATATATATATATATATATATATATATATATATATATATATGTATATATGTATATATATGTATGTATATATATATATATATATATATATATATATATATATATATATATGTGTGTGTGTGTGTGTGTGTGTGTTTCATTGCGCGTGTGTGTCCCCGAGTGTGTGCGCTCGTGTTGTGTTTAAGTATGCATTCGACGGGCAAAGTAAGCGCGTGTATGTGTGTTCGCTTTCTTTCCCGCTTAAAAATATACACGAATGCCCGCGCTGTGACGTCTGCTGTAGAAGGATGGTTTTTAGAAGTTCGTCTCATTTAATAACTAAAAATTATCATTCTACACACATGTATGAACACACGCACGCACGGACGCACATAGACACACAAAAACACACACACATACATATATATATATATAATATATTATATATAATTTATATTTAGGCAAATAGATTTTATTCAACCTATTTTTATTAAATTCATCTGACAACTTTTCTATTTAATTTTTATTAAACATTTCCACATCTGGTTAAAATTTGTGGGGTGATTCTTCCTACAAAATTCAAGTTATTGTTTATATATATATATATATATATATATATATATATATATATATATATATATATATATTATAACTATATGTAGAAAAGATTCTTGCGATATTATAAAATGGTTGCATAATATTAAAAAATAAAGAAAAGGCCACATTTATTCAATTTGATATTTATAGATTTCTAGTCCTGCTAAAGATCTGTTATTAAAAAGTATGAATTTTGCTAAAAACTATGTAGAAATTAGGGTTGATGAATTCAAGGTTCTATAAGGTCATTATTAATAATAATTCCACTTGAATTAAAAATTCACTATAATAATTTGGCTGATCCTATGGGTGCTTATGACTCGGCTCATAGTAGGTATATATATATATATATATATATATATATATATATATATACATCTTGACTCTCCCGTCGAATTCGACGTATCAGGGTCAAGCAGATCAGTTCCTAGGAAACCGATAGCCCGACAACACAGATTAGATTTGATTATAGTGGAGAAGGTTTCGTGCAGTATCATCCAAACATTTTGAAGGGCCGACTACAAGTCCCCAAACAACCCTCCACAGGTTTTGAATTCAGAGTTGTCCTTCTCCTAGACTAGTTGCCATCCAAGGCTATAGAACCCGGTCTGTCCTGCTATTTACCCATAGCTGGATGGAGGAGAAGAGGATTCACACCTTTCCAAGGGTATTAGCACGTAAGTGAATGTAATGGATTCGACTGAATTCGAACTCGGCTCTCCGATTTCTCAATCTAAGCCGCTATCCATTACTATATATATATATATATATATATATATATATATATATGTGTGTGTGTGTGTGTGTGTGTGTGTGTGTGTGTGTGTGTGTATGTATCATTATTTTTATTATAAGAGATTATAATAAAAACATGTTGCCTTCGCTACACAAAAGATTTCATGTTTCAATACTATGATTGTTACTTCTTTTCCGAAAGTTAAACCGGGGGACATACTGTCAGAATTAAAAATAGACTTGTGGGTACGTCTTGATTAACCAATTAAATGTCAGATCTACGCTAAATAGAAAAGTTAAGCTCAGAGGGTGGAGGTGGGTGAGTTATTCTTTCATGTCATGATAAACCGGAACATAGACAAGTCATCATTGACTATGAAGTCTTTCTGATGCCTGCACATTTTATCAGATTTTGGTAAGTATGTTTGGCCATGAAATTTTCAACAGTTCTTCGTACATAGCCTGTTAGTCTTACAACAAGAACTCATTCAAGTAGGTTTATCATTGCTCTTTGGC